TTGTGTAGCCTCGTCTGACGTAATCGCGCATTGTGTAGCCTCGTTTGACGTAATCGCGCATTGTGTAGCCTCGTCTGACATAATCATGCATTGCGTAGCCTCGTCTGATGTAATCATGCGTTGTGTAGCCTCGTCTGACGTAATCACGCATTGTTTAGCCTCATCTGACGTAATCGCGCATTGTGTAGCCTCGTTTGACGTAATCACCCGTTGCGTAGCCTCGTCTGATGTAATCATGCGTTGCGTAGCCTCGTTTATTCGCATCAAACAGTCGAGAGGGAAACTAGATGGAAACAGTCTAGATTCAAAATGTTATTTATTTAATTTTTGCGAATTTTGAAAAGTTCGATAAAAATTCACTCTACAACTGGATGGAAACACGGTTAATCTCTCTCAGATAACCCTGTGAAGAAAAAGTGCTGACCGTCCTCTCTCTGCAATCTCATTCTTTTGGTCACTATTCAGTTTGTAACCACAGATGAGGGTAGGGATGTAAACAGACAAGTAAACAAAGAAAGGTTCCCGGGTTGGGACCTTTTCCTGCTGAGAGGCAACAGCTCTACCAACTGAGCCACTTTTTATCAGAGTCAAATATCAGTCAGTTAAACCTCTGAGATGTTGGTCAGGCCAGGTAAGTATCAGAGGAAGTTAATCAGTAGCTGCTTTGGTGTTAAGGAAATTTACAACAGGTGCTTTACAGGGGCAACAATGAGACCACCAGAAAAACTGCGTCTCAGTTCAGAGGCATCCTCGTGAGTGGGCATTTGTCAGCCACATCCGGCACTGCCCCACACCGAGTGCTGTCCCAGTTCAAAGGCTCCTCATGTGGTCCACAAACTCAAAAACCAAGGATGCATCAGAGGATCTTTCCTGGCCGAGGATATCCCAGGATTCAATGCACCGACGAACTAAACAGACAAACAGACACTGGAGTTTTGATTTTTTTAACAAATCAGTGTAGTTTGGAAATTAATCACGGAACAAATAATATATTTTAAAATATAAGTTTAGCAACTTAGCTGATGAAATTTACGATGAGTATTAGGGCCACACAAGATTTTTTTTTTATTTTTAATTATGAGAATAAAGTCACGACATTAAAGTCGTTTAAAAATAAAGTCATAATATTATGAGAATAAAGTCGTAATATTAAAGTTATAATATTGTCTTTACACGATAAAGCATGCAGTTACTGCATTAAAATGAGGATTGTTGAGCAACTTGTCAAGTTGTTCTTTAGTATTGCTATAAATAGTTACTCTTTTAGCACATTAGCATCAAATTATCAGTAGCAGGACTTGGAAATTGTGCAAACGGCTGTAAACTGAAACCGTATTGTAATTAATGGATGCAGTGACAGATTTAGTCATCAGCTACTGTATAATTTTGGATGAAAGCATATTTAACAGTGACCCGAATCATCATTGACTGTCAACACAGACACATGGCTGTACACAGCAGGTGTGAGAAAAGGAAAAGGAGAAAAGGAAATGAGGAACGGGAAGTAGACACGTCATGATTATGACTTTTTCTCGTAATATTACGACTTTAATCTCGTAAAATTATGACTTTAATAATATGACGACTTTAATCTCGTAATTATGACTTTATTCTCATAATATTATGACTTTATTCTTGTAATATTATGACTTTATTGTTGTAATATTACAACTTTATTCTCGTAATATTATGACTTTATTCTCGTAATATTATGACTTCAATCTTGTAATAATCATTTAAAAATCGCGTTGTGTGGCCCTAACACTCCGTCGTAGAAATTCATTCTGCAATAAGATGTTAAATAAAATGCAGCTACAAGTACTGATACTGGAGCTAAACCCAAATGATTCATGTTTTTATTTATTTATTTATTTACATGTAACGTTTCAATCATGAAGTAATTCTTCCAGTGGAAAGACGTGTGAATACACGTTCCAACACATTTGAAGTCTGACATGAAACTGATCACTATGGTAGCATGTGGTCACTCAAACATACATCAGAAGGCCAGACCGTCTCATTTCACAGCAGTTTATACAGCCCACCCGGACTGGGGAGGACGTGGTCAAGGTGGGCTATGCACTCATGAGGATGCAGCCCCTGAATTGAGACACAGCCATGCTTTTGCAGCTGGAGGCGACACACATTTTGTTCACTCCTCGTCTTTTTTAACTTTATTTCAAGTCATGTCATTTCCAGAAGGTTTGCTGTGTCTCCTAGCACAGTTTCAAGAGCATGAAGGAAATTCCAGGAGTTACTCTAGGGCAGGGTGCCCAACCAGTCGATCAGGATCTACTAGTCTATCACTGGTTGGTTCCCAGTTAATTGCGGAGAGCGTCTTGCAACCTTGTTTATTAACATTCCAGCCTTGAACGTGCTCCCTCCGCCCTCCCCCTCTCGTAAATTCTCATAGACGTAGTCTCGCGAGTTTTGGGTGCCATGAAACAGCACTACGAACATGATCTCGCGAGACTTTGTGGTCACGTGTTCACAACATAGCAGAGAGGCGGGAAAAAAATGAACGAAAGACAAGCTAACAAGCAAACAAAAACTTATTTTCACCTGGAGTGGGAGGAGGACTCATTTGTAATTCGAGTGCTGCCTTGTCCAAAAAGGATAACGTGGAACGACATTTCAAAACAATGCAAGTAAGGCTACTGTTATCCTGGCTCAACACAAAAAGTCTTTCAGCGATGACGAAGTTATGAAAGAAGCGTTTGATGCTGCAGACGTGCTTTTCTGTGATTTTAAAAATAAAAGTGAGTTTGTGGCTGCTATAAAGACGTGCAGTTGTCCACCAGGAATGGATGACATTGTGTCCAAATTTGTGTCTGTGTTTCTGCTGGACTGCTCTGGTGTTGAAAATGAGGTTTTGACTCTGCAAAATGACATTGGGGTCAAATCCAGAGCAACAAGTGGCGTGGATGGAGAGTTCTGGAGTCTGCTGTCAGAGGAAACGTATCCCACCATCAGATGAGGTGCTTTGAACTTGACAGAACTTTTTGGATCTACCTGTGTGAGTCTGCTTTCTCTCACATGAAAATCATCAAGTCCAAGAACAGATCCACAATAACTGATGATCATCTGGAGACCTGCCTGCGCCTCAACCACCTCATACTGCCCACCCTGGTTCCTCCTCTCAGTGTCAAAGTCCCACTAAGGTAGATAAATTTATTTTTATATAGCTTCTTGCATAAAAGTTGTTTCCTCTAGACTTGTCACAATGTGTCTGTATGTTGTTTTTTAAATTACATTTTAGACCAGACTAGTGTCTTATACACTGACTGGCACCTTCATGTTTATTATTTATTTATTTTGCAGTTTGGGTGTGCCCTTATTTTTTCTACCTAAAGTGTGTGTGTGTGTCTGTGTGTGTGTGTGTGTGTGTGTGTGTGTCTGTCTTGTCTGATAGGTGGTGAACCAGGTGGAACTCTTTGAATGGTCTGGAGCCGGCAGTCTGGACCAATGAGGGACTGAGCTCTTCAGCACCTGCAGATGACACACATCCTGCATGCTGCACATAGAGTCAGCTGCTTAGTTTTGATATTCAGGCTTTATTGAGGTTTGAAATAGTTGTTGGAGATTTGTGAATTTGCACCTTTGTAAGACACTTTTTGTAAATGGTGAGTGTAAATGAGGGAGTTTTATAATGTGTGCTTTGATTTTGAAAAATGGGCAGCACTGTTGGCCCTGATTGATTTTTATGTTTTTCCCCCTGTATGGAGAGAAGAGAGGAGAGTTCTGTGATTAAATGGAGACGAGTTCCCGTGCTTCAAAGTTATTTGACTCTGGTTGTCTCACTGGGCAGGTTTCCAGCCCTCCAACTGAAGGAGGTATAAAAAATATCCTTTTTGTTCCACCACCAATTTTTGTTTCTCTGTCAGGAGTTAAGGATTTTATCTTTTTTTTAGGTAAGTAGATGATTAAGTAGATAATTTTGTTTTAAATACTTTAAATAAAACTTAAGCAACACACAACATTCTGTTTTATTTACTTTAAAGAAGTGAGGAGTAGGGAGATGAAAAATAATGTTTTTTTGATACTGAGACTGGACGAGTAGATCTCGGCAAACTGCCAACTTCAAAAGTAGATCTTGGTTCAAAAAAGGTTGGGCACCCCTGCTCTAGGGTTAGGTCTGAAGTTCTTAACCGAGCAGCAGGACTGGTATCTTCTCCTTGGTGCAATAAAAGAACAGAATGAGTTCTGTCAAAGCCCTACACAGTGACCTCCAGCAGGCCTCTGCTGTCAGTTTTTCTGAACAAACCATTAGAAACAGACTTAATGAGGCTGGCCTGAGGGCCCTGCATCCTCGGGTACAGTTCCAACCCTGTTCCTCAAGGCACACCGCCCTTCAGGTGAGTGCAGGTGAAGCCTGTTAACCATTTATCACCTGAGATCAGCTGTGTTGAAGCAGGGAAACATCTAAAACGTGGGGCAGTGTGCCTTGAAGACCAATTGAAAAACAGCTCTAGTGGGCCCTGTGCTCATTGGCTGGTACCGTGGAGCTCCACTGGTATTTGTCAGAGAACACCAAGATTGACGGGTTCCCCATTGGCCCCTGTGCTCTTCATGGATGAGAGCAGGTTTGACAATGAGTGTGTGACAGACCTGACAGAGTCTGAAGACACCATGGAGAGCGCTGTGTTGTCTGCAGCATCCTCCACATGACTTGTTAGGCAGTGGGTCTGTAATGGTGTGGGGAGGACCTCACAGCCCCCCCATGTGCAATCCAGAGGTACCCTGACTGCCATTAGGTACTGACTGTGATGAGACCATTAATGGTGAGACCATATGCTGATCCGTGCCAATGCTAGAGCTCGGGGCTGAAGTGTCAGCAGTTCCTGTGTGATGAGGACATTGATGCTGTGGACAGGCCTGTCTGTTCCCCAGACCTGAATCCAGTCCAGCACATCTGGGACCTTATGTCTGGTTCCATCCACCAACAGGACTTTACACCACACTGCTCAGGAGATGACTGATGCTCTAATCGAGGTCTGGAAGAAGCTCCTTCAGCAGAACATCTGCCGTCTCATCAGGAGCATGGCCAGGTGTTGTAGGGAGGTCACGTGGAGGCCACGCCCACTACTGAGCCTCGTTTTAACTTAGATCAGCCTATGATGTGATTTTACATTTTCATTTTGAGTGATTCCAAAACCAGACATCCATTAGATACCCCTGTATCACCTTCCAGAGGGAAGCTTAACAAATTCCCCATTTGTTGGGCCTTTTGTTGTAAGTGAACAAATTTAAATTGATGGGATCAAATAATGAATTCCCTCACAGTATGATAACAGTTCAATTCAATCAGATTAATTTCTTTAACAGTACGTCATCAAACAAAAGAAAGCATGTTCTGTGGTTGATTGAACATATTTTTTTCTATAAACACACAGTAACTGGTGATATTTCTTCTCTTTTAATGTAGATGTTCAGAAACCCCCACCATCACGGCAAAATGAAAAACTGGAAGTTATTTTTTGGCGTGGAGACGAGAAGGTGAGTTTAGCAACCAAATAAAAAGTTATTTTTGAAATACTTGTTTAACTATCTTCAGTTAATTTTTTTCTTTTTGTCCTTCAGTCACTGGTTGACTAGGGTCCTCTTACCCTCCTGCCACCCTCCTGATGGAGATGGCATCGAGTGGGACTGCACCTTCAGTCGCAGATACTTCCTGGCTGTTTGACTCTCTCTCTCTCTCTCTCTCTCTCTCTCTCTCTCTCTCTCTCTCTCTCTCTCTCTCTCTCTCTCTCTTTTATATATAAGTGTGTGTTTTATATGTGTGTGTGTTTAAACAAATCAAGGTTTTAGTTGTTTGCACTGATGGACCATGGGAACCAGAAGGGATCTGCCCAGTTAATCTAAGATTAGACTGTGCTGATGCTGCTGGCCAGCATCTTCATCACACCTGACGATGAAGAGCTGTTGTGTATCTCTTTTGCGAACACACAGAAGTGTTGTTTATCTCTTTTGCGAACACACAGAAGTGTTGTTTATCTCTTTTGTGAACACACAGAAGTGTGTGAACCAGATATGATCTGACGTTGAGCCCTGAAGGCTTTAAATGTAGTTACCAACATATCAAAGATGTGAAGTTGTAATTTAATCAGTCCATTTAAAATGGTCCTTTCTACACATAATCATGCATTGTGATCTACACACACCAACATGTCCACCTATACATATGGGGACATTACACTGATTTCCATTAAATTTCTACAGACTGACCCTGACATCCTACCCTAAAACTAACCTAAACTCCTTGATACCAAACCCAACCCCACCATTCCACCAATGGCTTTAAACCAAACAAGGACTCAGCTTAGGTCCCCATACGTAGGTGTTTTGTCTAAAAATGGTCCTCATATGTCATGAAATACCTGTACACACACACACACACAGAGAGCTCATGCCTACTTCCAGTTAGTTGAAATCCATGTGGTCAGTGTAAACTGTTCATATTTAGCTGTTTCAGCTCTGCACGTTGAGGATATTTCACTATCACAAGTTAAAACACCAACAAAACTCATTGAAACATGTTTGTATATAAAGAACAATAAAAAAAACAGGTGTAAAGGACCAAAACACTTGAGTTGAACACAGACCTTGAGTACCAGTATCAGTAAAGTGTATCTGAGTCCAGTTTGATGTACATCAGTATTTGTACAAAGGTCATAAAGCTGCTACATCTGCAGTTTTTACTGATTTTCCACACAGACGTCTCTTCTTGTGAACAAACTGTGTGATTTATAGGTCTGAGCACACACAAAGATACTTTTGATGAATTCAGCTGAATATTTCATATAATTAAACAAATAAAACCAGATTAAACAGACAGATGATTACCCCAAGTTAAGAATTTGAAGCAGTAACTACAATGTGTCCTTCACAACGAGTCGTCTGCATTTACCAGTCTGAAGTTTGGCCAGCTTGTCTTGATGAGAAAACTCCTTAAGTTGTGTCAGGTTTGAAGGGCATCAACACACTGCAGTTTTAACATTTTTTCATAGATGCTGACTTACATTCAGATGTCTGTCTGTGAAGACACTTTGAATGCTTTCAGCTGTGTGTTTTGTTGACACATCTGTGAGCTGAGGTGAGCTTTCTGACACTGGGTGCTATGTTCTGCTCCAGGAGCCTTGATAGTCTTGAGACCTGATTGTATTTGCTCAGATTCAAGGTTTCTTGTGCCAGATACATGAAAACTTCCTTCATACTTGGCTGTATGTGTAAGGCTTCATATTTCCTTCTGTGAACAGAACTGAGGTGAGATGTCCTAGTTTTGTCTCATCAGTCCTGATAAAGTCTGACGTGTGTTGTTGTGAGTTCCTGTCAGGACTTTTTTGTGTTTTACTTCCAGTTGTGGAGGGTCCTGGTCTTCTTCCATTATTCAAAGTTAGACCAATGCTGTGATTAGAAAGTCACAAACCTGGACTTTAAGAAACTTTACAAACTGATCAAAAAGAAAAAATCAGTAGGTCCTCTGGATGGTTCTTCTTTAGTGAAACGTTTCGTCTCTCCTCCAAGAGACTTCTTCAGTCTGATGAGTTTCAGGTGAACTCAGCCTTATAAGCTCCGCCTCCACCTGGACAAACAGGTTAGTCACATGCAAAAGAGGGCCATCGCCTAACAATAGGCTTGATTGGCTGTATTGTTCATAGAGGGTCATGTGCCCCATCATCTGACCTGTGTTGTGTTATGTGTATGTAGTGAATGCAAGCGGGGGTTTAACGTCCCCTTGTTTTTGTCTCTTTCCTTCTTTGTGCTGGTATCATTGGGGCCCTGATTCACACCTTTTGCTCACGGGGGGCGGAGTCATACTTGCAGTAACAGCGTTGTAGGAGGAGGACAACTGGACGACTTTTGTTAGGCGATGGTCCTCTTTTGCATGTGACCAACCTGTTTGTCCAGGTGGAGGCGGAGCTTATAAGGCTGAGTTCACCTGAAACTCATCAGACTGAAGAAGTCTCTTGGAGGAGAGACGAAACGTTTCACTAAAGAAGAACCATCCAGAGGACCTACTGATTTTTTCTTTTTGATATTTTCTACCTGGACTACTGAGATGCATCAGGACATTTACAAACTGATGTGTGGTTGCATTTGTTTGGCAGTTGCTGTTAGCTGAATGAAGCATAGTTTCAGTGAGCTGTAAGGGTACCAACATATTAATGTCTGTAAATAAAGCTTTATCTAACAACACTTAGAGCCATAAAGAGCAGTAGGCTCCCTGCAGCAACCGTCCCCTCTGCTCTGGTTAAAGTGTTTCACTTCCTTCGTTCAGCTCCTGTGGACACCAGGAGGTTATAGTTTGGTCACTTCACTGAAATGTCTTCAGAAAAGCATGTATTTTATAGTTGAGCTGTCAGACTGTGGTTATTTAAAATAAATGAGTTAATTTAGTTTTTGCGGATAAATATGTGAGCGACTCCAGCCTCACTATGCTAACTGTTGTGTTGGCTCCACAGGACCAGGAACAGTGTTGAGAACGCTGCAGAATGAAAGTCTGTAATCATTTAGCTCTGGGATCAAATGTTGGTCAGAACCAAGAAGAAAGACTAAATAAAAACACGTCTCCTGTCCGTCACCCCTCTCCCACTGTACAGGACATAAACCTGACTGTGGGAGGAGGGGCTGCAGCACTCTGTGCACCCTCAGTTCCTTTCATCTCTACATGTGTCAGTGTGCTGTCCACAGGAGGTCACTGATTGACCAGTTCCACATGTTGGTCAGTCATCCATCTGAAGGTTTTCCCACGGCTCCACTCAGATCTCTGGTGTTTAATGACAGTGGCTCTACTGTGAATGAGGACGTGTCCAGGTGAATGTGTTTGTGGGGTGGGTCAACATTTTCTGAAGATGTTGTGACGAGGGTCTTGTATTTAACTGCTGCTGCGTGTGGGTCTGAGGGGATTTCATGTGTTCTGCTGCCAAAATAAAGTTCTGACTTGAATTTCTTGAGTTTAACCTGGTTTAAACTAGTCACACCATCATTATTATTTATACTTTCTGTTATTTGTAAAAAACTATTAACACATTTGTGTCTGGTTGTTCAGTCTGATAAATGATTTAAAGGGGAAATATCCTGTAAAATCAACTTTTTTGAGTTTTATATCATGTTATAATGTTATACTCTGATAAAAACATGCCCAAAGCCTTGCTCTGACTCATTCATCATGTTTGAGAAATCCTGCAGTGTTTTTATGAAGCCATGCTGAGGAGCAAAACGACAGGTGGAGACCAGAAACACCTTTTGGTACCAGAAACACCTTTTGGTACCAGAAACACCCCTGGGACGTGTCTTTAAGCTGAGCTTCCTCATCACGGAGCACACCTCCCCACCCCCCACCCATGACTCCTGCAGGCTCTCGGCAGTAACAGAGCAATGTGAAAGTGAAACTTAACTGCTGCTCCTAACACTACTTCTCACTCAGTGAAGCTCTTTTCAGATTAAAAATACCTTTTAGGAAATGTATTTTCAGATGCCAAGTAAACTGCATCATAGCAGCCCCCCCCCGCCCCACCTGAAATGGGCGGGACAGAAGCGGAAGGAGGTTCTTAAAGAGACAGAGGCCAATTTCAAGGTGTTTAGAAGAGGAAGTGATGAGAAGATAAGTTTATTTTCTATTTAAACATAAAAACATCATTTTAATAACTAAAGGTGACATCGATACTTTATTACGGTATAGTACTTAAATATATGCCTGAGAAACAAAATATTGGCCTTTAAAGAAAGGAATCAGGCTGTTTTTCACAGTCTTCATCATGGGAAGCAGGACGTGTGCTGGCCTTGGAAACGTGACAGCTCTGATGTGATCAGTAACCAGAAGGAGCTGCACTCCAGTTTCATTTCTTTCAAATAAAACTTTGAAATTCTGATTCAGTTTTGCTTTCTTTAGTTAATAAGACTCAAATAACGTCAAATAATTCTGTGTAAATGACTTCTTAATAGCTTAAAGTGCCTGTGACACAAGTATGAATGCATTTTTAGAACAAATCACTGCTGACATGAACAGGTGTTGAAATATTTGTGAAGTAACAGGAAGTGATGTCAGAGGTGTGTTTGCATGTAAACAGCTGTAGAGAAGAATCTGATGTTTCTTGTTTTGAGTCTGTCATATTTCAATAAACAGAGTTCCCCTATGATGTCACTTCCTGTTTCACTCTGGCTGAGTCAAAGTTCAAAAGAAAATGTCATTTATGTAACAAAATGGATGAAATTGTGTTTCTTAAATATAAAGGTGTATTCTTAAACTTTTTGTTTTGAAGGATATGCATGTCAGACATGCTTTAACAGACTGAACAGATTTTATTTTAAAATGTTAAAAGCTAAAACAGTGATACATGTTTTAAACAACTTATGAAAATGTAATGACTATATTACTAATATCATATTTGATCTAATTGTTATTAATCCAGTTTGTAAGATCCAGCAGAGGCTTCAGTAGGTTTTCTTTTGAAATTCCATCTTAGAAAGTTTTGAACCAACTTTTCACATTTTTTAAACCAGTGTGACAATCTACTGGTCCCATCAGTACGTTTAAGAGAAACCCACTGTCTTCGTATCGATCTGAAGGTGACGTGCTGAAGAAAAGGCATTTTAGTCACTTTGAATGAAACTTTATTACGTAGGGGTGTCCCAATACCAGTTTTTCCTCAAAATGAATATGAGTATTTCATGAGTACTCACTGACACAGAGTACTTATTGAGTTCAGTGTTAAACAGTACACAGTAACATAAAAACTTACTTCAGACAAGATGGTGCTTCTTCCTTTAGGCCTACAGCCCCTCTGACTGGATCAAAGCAAACATACAGCATTATACTGTATATTACAGTATACTGTAATATACAGTATACTGTATATTACAGTATACTGTAATATACAGTATACTGTATATTACAGT